GAGAACGATCGGAGAGAGAGAGAGAGACCACGTGGTTGTGTACCGGGGGGGCTACGCCAGTATATAGCGCACACAAACGCTAAAGAGTCTCTCTCTCTCTCTCTCTCTCTCTTTCACTCGCTCGTTCATTCATACCCATACCCACCTATATACTACAACTCGCTCGGACCGTACGCAGTGCCTACTTAGTAGTAGTAGCAAAGCGGTGTGGTTCGCGAAAACTACCGGCTGGTCATTGTAAGAAAAGTTGTGCTTTTGGTGCGACGTGCATATACCAAAGGGGGATGATTATGTCGGATCGATGATGGCTCGTGGTCGACCGCAAGGTCAGATTGTATACTCTCTATCTCTCGCACGTGAGAAATTGCGACCGTGTCCAACTGGAGCACGACCTTATCTACTTGGGGATGAAAAAAAGGTCTATTTTAAATGTAAGCGAAGATTCCGTGGGTTAAATGAATATTTATCATGGTGACGTGTAATACACGAGTTAATACTCGAGTCTGATGTTCATCTGAAGAAAAGACCGAGAGAACAGACACTTGTTATAAGTAGTAAAAGTAAACGCAGGACAGCCGCTAGAACAAAACAAAAGGTCACGTAAACGGATGGGGGGGGGGTTGTTATCGGATGCCAATGGAGGGGCAATTATGACATTCGTAGAGGGGGCGTGAGAATAAAAGAAGAAAAAAGTGTACCGTGAAAACATCAAAGTCCTTTGCTCCGAGTAATTTGTGCTCGCCCCCACGGAGCAGTCGTGCCGGCATACAGTGTACGTATGAGGCACTCCGAAACTTGACTTGAAGTATATACCGAGATGAGGTGCTTTTTTTTTCTTTCTCCAACCTTGCTTCGAAGTTTACGAGTTCACTCGATCAAAAGCTCCTAAGCTCGAGGTGGTTTGGGCTCGGCTCGAGAGGAAAGGGAGAAATCACAAAGTTGGTTGAAGTATGGTTGAAAAGTTGTAAAGGTCGACTCTTGCGTGTAAAAGGAAAAAAAAAAAAATCGAGATAAGTGTAACGCTATGAAATACAAAACGTTGTCGATGAAAAAAGGATGATCGTATCGAGCTTGCGGCAAGATATTTTTGCCGCGACTATCGAATAAGCCATACCGATCTCCGTGGCTGTCATCGCGCACGACGCAAGCTCGCCTCTTGGACCGGTGAATGGAGCACCTGTATGCGGCCGTCAGCAGATACAAAGTAGCTCGTATAGCGCGCCGAGCTACCCACGTAGGCGACAAACAGGTGCCTATATATATTCATATCTTTCGAGGAGCACGTGGTCGGCTCGCACGGGGAGATCGTCGGTCGATCTCGGTGCACGCGCTTGCGCTCTCTGTCCTTCTCTCTCCGTGCGATGGTCCCGCGAAAGAGAATTGCGATTGTATGTATATAGGCCTCACTCTTACCCGTGCGCGCACACGTGCACGACCAGGAAGAGAGTCTCTCTCTCTCCCTCTATATACAATATACCGGCACCGCGATCGTAATATAAGCTCTCCGAGAGCAAGAGAGGGAACTACCTACTTACGAGGGAACCTACGACCATCAGACGTCGTTGCCCGTCCTACCCCGAGAACCAGAAGAAGAAGAAGCAGAGAACCGGCACGCGCTCTCCGAAAGCGCGCGCAACGCATGTATACAGCCGTGGGAGTAGAGAGAGAGGCCCCCCTCGCATATATATATATATGAGAGAGAGAGAAAACACGTGGTCGCAGCGCATATATACACAAAGTTGTATAGATGACGAGGAGCCCCCCCCCAGGAAGTATATGTGTATATATGTACTTTCATCATCGGTCGTTCGAATCCATCCCAGGGTTCACCACCTATCTGCCGGCTTGGCGCGGCAAGAGAGCACGTGGTGGATATAGGGGTTGTGTGTTACATACCCACCCAGAAGTAGTGGGTATACACGTCGGAGAGATCGGCCCCGCGTACGCATGCGCATGGAATATCGTTTTGGACGCGCGTGCGATGGATACAAGTAATATATGCAACCTATGGCTGTTAGATGTTCTCTCCCTCAAGGTCGCCGTAAGTGCAGTAGCACGAGAAGGGGCAAGCCTATGTACGTATCGGCCAGCTGATAGGTTTTCCTCCCCTCTCTCTCTCTATAAGGCTGGACGAAAAATCGACTGGCCGATCGCTTGCCTTTGGATCTGCCGTCCGATCGGTGAAGTTGGTTCGTAACATCTTCCAACGTGTATAGTTCAGTTTCACTGACTAACAATAACAGCGTTGAGCAGTGGAGATCAAATGCCATTTTTTCATCACTTCTTTATCGTTCCAAAGCCAATCTATAGCAAAAAAAAAAAAAAAAAAAAAAAACATTCAATGATCGAATGAATTTCATTTTCAACCTTGTCTTACCAAACTCGTCTGTTTCTACTTCATTGATGAGTAACAAAATCCGCTTCCCTCCGCCCCCGCCTCTCTGTTCGTGTACAATCAAATTATCATCTTAGCTATTAGCCACGTTATTCGAGAATTCCTCGCGCTGCTGCTTATCGGTTATTTATCTATTTACACGTTGGAAATGTACTATTTTCAAGTGGCCTGTTGGTGTGATATTGTTTGGTAACAGTTTTCGCCTCAGGCCATTTTGGACCATATCTTTCCAAGTTTGGCTTGCGCCACTGAGGGTGGCTACCCTATAGTTGTCATCTATACTACACTTCCGTGTTTTTTTCAATTGTAAAAAGCTAAAATAGGTAATAAATACGTCGACGCCGACGAGCTCGTACGAGACATGTAAAAAAGGCACGTCAAGCCGGCCAATTTGCCTCGCGACATCCACGCCCATGAGCTTCTCAATTAAATCTCACGTCATGTCAGATCTCGTCGCCTTTTACTCACGTTTCGGCCCGTATAGCCCGTACGATTGAACGACAAACCAGCAGCGGCTCCCGACGCACCCGATCCGAGAATAACGCGCGCGCGAGGAGAGAGCACTGACCCACTAGCCTGCCTCCTCTCCGCCGCTGATTTACCCTCCGATCTATATTTGGCTGTTCAAACTCTCGCTGCAGCTGCACGCAACGTCATTTCTTATTATTAAAAAAAAAAAAACCCTCCCAATGTTCGTACCTATGCATTATAATTTTTGCGGTCTCCCTGCACACGTAGGCGTTGCGTGTTGTTTTTTCCCACTCGAGTGGAAAATTCGATGACGGTTATGTAAAATGCTCGCCAGTTGCACCAGCGGTTAACGCTTTGGGTCTTATTACTTGTGGTGATTTAGAAAGTTGCCTCTATAACGACGATAATGAGCGCCTATCGTGACTGTAGGAAAAAAATGGAACACCCGGCCCTCACTGTTGTTGCTGTTCTCGCACTTTGTGTGTGGGTGCTATTGTTTGGACTGTAACGAAATGTTACGAGATTTTTTTTTTTCATTTTCATTAGTGCATAATTGTACCCAGTAGGTTAGAGCGAGAAATAAATCGACCCTCGTTTGTCGCGAAAACTGCTATTGCTGTAATGTTGTTGTTTCCGTGAGTGCTTTTCCCTTCTTGTGATTGACGCCGCGCGATTTCTCCTTCGTTGGGTGTGCACGCTGCAGTGGCTGAACGCCGTCGACGTTCAACTTTCGATTTCTCGACACACGAGATCGGCAATTTTTGTTGGATTCACTCGCACTTGCTCCCATCTCTCTCTTTTTCCTTCGGTATTTTATAATCAATAATACAGAGCAAATTACATTTATTTCACAGCATTTTTCTCTCAAGTACGAAACACATATGTTTTAACTTACTTACATGGTAAAAAAAGGTATGGCACTAAAAACGCAGGGTAAACAGCTTGCACACGCATAATTGCTTGTAAAATCTATGGTGTGCCTGTAGAAATAACTCCTTATTGATGTACGTAAATATACATATTTACCTCGCTGGAACAACATATTTTCGATTACGCTGCAACTGGCTTTAAAGTTTTATCATTACAAAGCGTTTGTTCATATACATGTATATTTGCTCGGGAATGTGTTTGAGAACTGCAGCTCACAGAGTAGTTTGTATTAACGAATTCGCCGAGAGACACTCGGAGTAGTCAAGAAGAAAAGAAAAATAGCCCGTCGTCGTGGAAGAGTTGGAATTATTATTATTATTATTTTTTTTCAAAGCAAACTTTTAAAATGCAGATCGAGTCGATGTACGTGGATACAATACCACACCACCGATTATTTAGCTTTGTCATTGATTCATTTTAAGGATATAGGAGAGCAAAGTTTGAAATTTTTGATTTTTCAGTGCAAGAATCATTAAATGGAGAATAATCGCGCGCCACAGCTCGTATACCTATCTACGTGGCTTGTTCGTGTAATCTTCGTAGTACGCTCTGCAGATAAGATTAAAACGCCTCGTGTGCATGATAATAACACTAAAGTTTATACAGTATACCGGGGCGTGAATCATTGCGTATACAATCTTTTTTTTTCTTCTTTTGTATACATAGGGAAAAAAAAAAAAAAGAATTTTCGTCACTCGCAAGCGAACGAGTGCTTCTTGTGGTTTCATTTTCTCGACCAACAACTTTATTCGATTTATCGATGGGGGGTTCGCAAGAAAAAAATCGCGCGCTATAGCCGACCATCGTGAATCGTATTCAATTTCACCGGCGCGCAAACTTGGTCGTCGGATGTCAAGAATGCGCGCGGCCGGAATGTTAAACACCATTGTCGTGTTTTTTTTTTTTTTTTTTACTTCTTCGTGACTGCTTTTCAAGTGGCTGCATGTAGTTTTTGTTGCTGGGCGTAAGTAACGTTTCTTGATTTTATTCGAGAAAATCGAAAAATTATGGGGTTAAACATACCATTTCTCGAAAGGACTGTATAAAAAGGTCAAGGCCTCCTTGAAATTAAGAGAGAAAAAACGTTTGCCTTACTCACGATTATTAATAGCCTTATACTTATCATTATACGATTTTTTTGTTCCAATTAGAGGTTGGCAGCTGTGTTCGTGTTTTATATTAATTTGTTGATGTTTGTTTGCAGGTAAACTCGAAGAACGAGTGGACGTGGCTCTGCGAGGAGTTCCATTTGCCCAACGGCTGCGTCAACAGTGGCGTTGGCCTCAAACAAATTTATTTACGGTGAGTACAATTTTTTTATTTGTTTTATTTTACTCCGTGTACATGTATGTCGCATGTATACGTCTTCTTTTCATCACGAACGAAATGTTTTTACCTTTTTTTTTAATGATTTACAAAATTGATTATTCCTCATTTCACATCACAATCGAACATTTATCGATACACCGATACAAGTATTCAAAGTTGTCGGAGAAAACTCTCTGACCCTAGAACTCTGCGCGTTTCCTATATATCCTTCAACGTGAAGCCAAGAAAGTAGATGTTCGTATACGTTGCTCGTCCAAATCTAAAATTAAAGCTCGTAAAAAAGCACTTGGAGATTTAAGGTTGAAACAAAAAAAAAAAAAAAAAAGTTGCTTTTCAAATCAGTTCCTAGTATGGTATGCTGCTACTCTCCCTCCGCACTTTTAACTTTCTACACCGTGCTATTTTTCCACCCCCTTTCTCTCGCTGCTCCGTCTGCTGTTGTCCTTGATTCCCCCCGGCTTTCTTGCCTCTCCACTTGTATACTCTCTACGTTCCGAGAAGCCGGCTGGTGATGCTTTTGCAACCATCGGAGTGTCTCCTCCTCGTCATCTCCCTTTCTCTCTCTCTCTCTCTCTCTCTCTCCGTTGCTGCGCCGGCACACACGTGGAAAAGGACCAATAGCCGGTCCGCTCTAAACTCTAACTTGCCCCCCCCTCCCCTGCGACTCTCCAACTGATAAACGCGCTTGCGGTGGCCGAACTATGCTTTTTCGACATTTTTCCGTCTTACGTAGCGGGAGATGAAGTAAATAATTTCTCGGATCCCGCCAATACTGCCCTTTTATACGATTCGGACGAAAAGTTATCACCTTTGGTAAAACAAGTAGATACCTAATGAAAGACAATGTTCGTTGATGTTGGAAAACACAAAAAATACCGTCTCACCGTACTTGGCTATGCATTGGAATTCCATTTAATGCTGGTTAAAAACGAATTATAAATAAATTGAAAAAAAAAAAATTTCTCTGTTCCAGATACCTTGACAGGTATGAAAAGGTACACTATCTAGGCGAAGACGGTCATCAAGCGGACGATGATGACGAAGACTCGAGACATCGGAAGTGGAATGTCAGGTCTCTGCATTCGGTACCACATACCTACAATCACAATCAGCACAACGTGGCTGGTGAGTTGTTTTTTTTTTTTTTTTTTTTCCTTCATCAATACAAAAAATCAATAATGGCCACTCCCTGTGCGAGCTTTTTCGATGGACGCGGAAAGTCACTCTGAAAATGTAAAAGTGCAACAAAACGGAAAGAAGAAAATAAAATCGGCGCACCCGCCGTTTCGTGGGAATGGGCTCAAAAAGCTCGTATTCGCGCAAACGAAAGTACAAAACGACCAAATAAAATCTCCCATTAATGAAAATACACGAAATTTAATGGAAAGATCGAATATGTCGTGGTAAAAATAATGGCGAAAAAAGCGCGACTACGACGACGACAGATACGCACGATGAATATACACCCATACATCCTAACGGTGCACAAAGCTCGGATACAACGGGGCCGATCAATACGAATTTTTCCTCTCCGCTCGTACGTACAACATAAATTGAACTCGGCCAAGGCGGCAAATACAAATAAAAAAAAAAAAAAAAAAAAAAAAAAAATCAACACTCCCCTTCCGTGTTTCTCGCTTCCACGAGGTTTCGAAAGCCGCGTCAACAAACGCGCCGCTCTGCCATACGGGGTGACGGCGAAGAGAAGAAAAAGACACAAAGCCGCGTGTATAAATATATACATATACACACATAAACACACACGTACAAGTATATATATATGGACCCCGCGGCGATCGATCGCTGGAAGAACGGGTGTGTATATGTATGCACAGAGAGCGGAGTTGAGAAGGGATGTGGTGGTGGCTGGTAATTCGAGCAGGCGGCTGTGACCGAGGCAATGGGGGAAAAAGACGGAACGGGCATCAGCAACAGCGGCATGTATGCACGTAAATGTTGTACATACATACCTACGTATGTACACAGGAAACATTTATATCCTAACGTGTGTGGTGTAGGTGTGTACAATATATATATGTATGCACGCGCTCACCGGATTACGCGCGATATATATATATATCTTCCCGTAAAAATATATGCATATGTACCTAGTTACGCAACGTAGTACGGATGCACGCCTTTCCTTGTATCCTCGCCGCATGTGAATTACACGGCTTTCCTCCAGTCGTATATGTACCTATTTGTACGCGCGAATAATGTGCATGTATGTATATATGTATACTATGTCACCACCACCCCCCCCCCCAATCCCAACGCCCAACGTGCAGAAAGCGCATGCGTCCCGCGGATCAATCTCCGCTCTCTCGCGATCTGCGCGCGGAGAAAGATATAGTTTATACATGTACAACCTATACCTTTTTTTTTTTATATTCATCATCGCCCCTTAAGGGCTCAGACATGGCTAGTTTGACACTATAAAGTGTATTTAGCCAAACGTTGGCTTTAATTACAGTAGGGGGAAACAGTAGATAGATCGGTAGGTTAATTGAAGTACAAATCTCATCTGGAAAAAAACCTCATTCATTGATGAAATTTTTGTCCAGAGTGGGATTTGAACCCCGGCCATCAAGATCTGTAGGCAGACACGCTACCGACAGAGCCATCATGTGGCTACAACCTATACCTACTTATCCTCCAATGTGCATGTACATAAAGACGCATAAGTAGTATGAGAGCTGTACTTACAGCACATAGCATCACATCGACGAGCCGCGAAACGCAGGCGCCGCGCGCGAGCGTTTGTGTGCTTGCGACCGAGCTTTCTCCCACCTCTTGTTGCCTCCCTCCCTCTATCGTGGTTATTGGGAAAAAGAGATGTGTAGAAAAGCGTGCGCGTATAGTGTGTTACCAGCAGCTTTCCCGGGAAAAATATATATCTCGGTGATGGGCGAGAGAGCTTGCGACCTCTCCCCCGTCATCGCCTACACACCAATTCCATCTCTCTTCACGCCCTTTGAGCTGCTTCTCATCCAGTTAACGCGTGACTGTCTAATTGATTTTTCACGTCATTTTCGCATAGTTTCATTCATTAATATGAATGATAACGCTTGTACAACAATCAAATGCCAGTAAAAAAAATGTTTCATACATATAATTCCATAAAAAATCCAACATTGGGGCTGTTATTTTTAACAAGCTTTTTTGTCTCAATAAAATATATTATTATTTCAACTCGAACAACAATTTTTTCATTCCATTTCATTTTGTTCGCAACAACTTTGGCAAATAGCATTGAATTCCCTTGCATTTAAAATTAACGTTGTTATAGGTGAAAAAAAAAAAAAAAAAAAAAAAAAAAAAAAAGGAAATTTATGAGCGTCTCTCGCACCCTTCAATATCAACCCTTTCTCTCCGCGCCTCGAGTACCTCGCCGCTCCCATCGTTGCCCTCTCGCCAGTGTATAGGTATAGCCGTAAGAGCAGCCGCAAGCCTTTACACGGCTCATTTGGTTCGCTCACCAGCGCGCACAAGAGCCATGTATGTGTACTTATCATCCCCCCCCCTTCGGTGGTGTGACCTACGCACAAAGGCATACGGAGACTTACCGTCCGCTTGACAAAATACGCTGTATGTCTGACCATTGCTTTTTTTACCTCAGTGAAAACGGTATGATACAGTACCTGGAGATATCTGCATTCAAAAGACCTATAAAAAGCTCGTGGACCTTAAATTATTAACTCAAGGGTCCTCGCAGCATTCGGAGTAGCGCATCTTCTTTTCCTCTCTCTTACCTACTTGCCAATTGTAAATAGTTGTCCATGTACAACGTAGTACACGCGAGTAAAGTACACACCCATACGTGATTGTATACGCAATCCTGAGGCCTGTCGTACTCTCGAAACTCACGATTGGATGTATGTGTAGAATTCTCGTGGTAATCATCATTTTCCCAAAGTGAAATACATCGTAGAAACAGCGCTCCCGCCACTTTTTCACGCGCCACCCAAACATTTGGGCCATTTCATGTATTATTCCCACACTATTTGTACTTCTTCTGTACCAATGTCCCCGGTAGGCACAATTAAACGAATCTACGCACATTCACACCGAAAGAGAGCCAAGCCCTTGTCTTTGACGTTATCATCTCATTACAAAATCAATATAGCACGTGCAACGTACAGTTATATCCTCGTCGAGCCTTGATTATTTATCGTCGGTCAAGAGGCACTGCAACGATAACGTGATCGCGCCCATGTAAATTGTGTGTATATATGGTACATGGATAAAAAACGGGCCGATAAATCCTCATTGCCATACTTGTGTTTCCCCCTTTTTTTCCAACAACATGTAATAAAAATTGTCCAAAATGATTTCAGACTCGCTGCGGGAGTACAACGGGCTCTCCTCGGACCTGTACAAGCCGTCGAGCTACGACAAGCTAGCCCTGTCCCTGCTCTCGCCCCTGCCGAACGAGCAGGACTTTGCGATCAACGTCTGCACCTTTTTGTCGAACGAGGGCAAGCACACCCTCCGGCTGGACAAGTACCCCCGGCTCATAGCCCACCTGATAGCCCACGCCGGTGTCTTCGACTCCCCGGGCACGCGACAGCTCTTCATCGAGGTCTACTCGCGGGTGCGCAACTACTCCATCAACTCGTTCTGGCAGGATGTCCTCGACTCCCAGGACGTCCTCGACCTCACCGACGAGAGACTGTTCTTCCTCCCTGGCAAAAAGAAGACGAAGAAAAAGGCACTCCCCCCTGGCCCCGATAACAAAGCGCTGTCTAGCAGGCAACAGTCGGACGACGGCTCTTGTCCCATGGACATCGATAACGTGAGTATACAATTTTATCAAATGCACCACCTCGTTCAATACGTTCGTACGTTGGTATGATCATTGGCGTCGTTTCGGCAGGGTTCGTTGAGCTGCGACAGGCTACTGGAGAGCACCGACCTCGAGGTACTGGACGAGCGATTGGGTTCGACGACGAGCGCGCATATGCTGTTTCTCCTGGACGAGGCCACGTGTTCCTCGTCCATTTCCTCGAGCACCTTCAAGGACCAGAATCAGAACTCGATCAAGTTCGAGGAGGACGACAGGGATCTATTTTGCGTGGGTCGGACGTTCGGCACCCAGGATCCTTACGGTCAGCGTGTCCTCCAGATCGCCTCGATTCTTCGCAATTTGAGCTTTACGCCCGAGAACGCGGCGGTGCTCGGCCGCTCGCCCCCTTTTCTGCGCTTCGTGTTGCTCTGTGTGCGCGCCAGGTGGAGCAATCTCCACCAGTTGGGTTTCGACACCTTGGGCAACGTCGCCAGCGAGATCGTTCTCAAGGACGCGGGCAAGAGGCTCACCAGCGTCATATTGCAGTGCGTCGCCCGGGGCATCAGCTCGCAGGACAGGTTCGTCGTCATCAGCTGCCTCGAGATACTCAACAAGATCAGCCTGCAGGACTTGAACGAGGACACCCTGGTCCACGGCTTGGACGATCACGTGTACGAGCTCATATGCAGGTTCCTGGCTCTCAGTGACATTGCCCTGCTCGTCTACACGCTCGAGTGCCTCTACGCGCTCACGTCCCTCGGCGAGAAGCCTTGTACGAGCGTAGCTCGGGTTCGAGGTGCCATAGACACCCTCGTGGCGCTCGTTACCGTTGAAGCTCAGAGTTACGGGCCCAAGGCTTGCATACTAATGCGGGTCGTCGAGACAGTCTCCTCGGTGCCCAATTCCCAGCAGCAGCCCCAGCAATCCCCGTCACCACAGTCTGGACAATCGCCGCAGCCAGTTCAGATTCAAGCGTCGCCGAGCTCGCCGCACGTGCACCAGCAAAATGCTACGACTGTTGTTACCAGTGGCACGAATCACGTGAGCGCCACTGCCCCGACTACTGGTGCGCCTACTGCCACGAATGTGTCTGTTGTTGCTCCTACGCAGACGAGTGCCGTGAGCAGTACTGCCGCTAACCCTGTCGCTCATGCTGCTTCTACAACCAACGTGGTGAGTGCTCCTGTCAATCAGCAAACGCAACAGACTCCTGTCGTGCAAGTGCAGCAGCAACAGCAACAGCGGCAGACGCAAGTTGTTCAAGTGCAACAAGCGCAAGCTCAAGTTGAGGTGCAACAACAGGCACCCGCGGCTAAGCAAGTGGCTGCCAAGGTGACCACGGCGTCCAATTCGTCTTCCAGACCGAGTACTCCTAAGAATGCTGCTGCAAGTGAGTAGCTTGATACGTGCTGTATTGAGAAACCGTGAAGTTGCATTGATGCTTATAACATATATTTATTTTTGTTTTTGTAGAAGTGCCAGTAACCAATTCGTTACAACAGCAACACGCGCATCAGCAAATCATCCAGGAGAACGAGCAGTTCGCCCTTGGGTGGTTGAAAGCTAACTTTGAACCAGCTCCCGGTGTGAAAATCGAGCAGGAAGAATTGTACAAAAAATATTTAGGAAATTGCACAAAAATCGGTAGACGAGGCGTTATTGCACCTCTGCATTTCCCCAGATGTGTCAGGTACTATTGAGATCCCCAAGTCATCTTTTAGAGCCTTGATTGATGCTTACGTACGTTTGCATAAATATTTTCGACAGATCCGTCTTTGGAGGCACGATAGGTCCTAATCCTCTTAAGGGCGATACTAGTGGATCCATGTTCTACGAGGGTATTAAATTGCGCGTGAACCCGGGCCAAGTGTCATATCCGAGCCAAAGTACGACGAGCGCGACGAATGCCAATCAAACGTTGGCAACAGTATCAGCAGCAGCAGTAGCAGCAACTGGCAATGTCGTCACGGTCGTCAGCAGTGGAAACCCGGCAAAGGTGCAGCAACTACCACAACAGCGTAACGATAGCACACCGACACCGTCTTCCTCGATCCTAAAAGCCCAACTGTCCGCACCGCCAAAACCCCAACTACCGATCATTCCTCTTAGTAGTCCGTTAAAAACCCTTACCCCTGTCACGAGCAGCGTCCCTTTCGAGCCCAAGAGCCAGGTGCGTTCTCTCCAGGTTTTCTCAAGTGATGAAGACTATAGTCTTTTTGATGTTCTTTCGTCCAATTTTTGTATGCTCTTTCTCTTTGTTGTTTTTTTCGCACTTTTTTTACTCATACATACATATTTGACAATTTTTGTTCTCGCAGTTACAAGCCTCTCGTTTTCTTATTGTGCTATACTGGGCATTTGGCATGACAATAGTTCAACTTTTTCTTTTTCTTATTTTCAAATGTTTTCAACGCTAAAAATGCTGTCATTGGTATGATTTTTTTCTAAATGTTTTCTACAGTAAAAATATACATTAATTGTGATTTTTTTTTCATAGAAAATTTTACATTATAAATTTTATTACTTGCATTATGAATATTTCACCAAAAGCAAACTACTTAAACGATCAATAAAATTGAATTTTCTTAGCATATTTATGCGAAAAATACCAGTAAAAAACATTAGTTGCTTCAAACTAACAGAAAAACATGCTCTTAAATATAGATATTTTCAAAATAATCTCTGTAGGTCTCAACAAATAGTAGCTATTCTAATGCCTCAAATTAAACTTTTATCCTATTCCTATTCAATTTCCTATCTAATCCTAAACTCAGGGAGCTGATCGAGACATTTCTAAATTTATATTAAAATACGTATCCATCGATCCATTTGACCTGTTAATGAAATCCCCAATTTTTCATTGGTGTCGGCATATGATTAGTAAATTTTAGATCGAAAAAAATTTATTTACAAATTTTTTTTTTTTTTAATTCTTATTAATAATTGCTTTTAAATTAAAAACTTTCTTTTTTAAGCCGGTGAATGATAACTCGCTTGCATGAAATTGTTATATTTCATGCCTTGGTTAATAGTTGTTTTGTAGTGTTTTTAAATATTTTATTGTAATAGCCAACAGCATTATCTCTTCTACATATTCAAATTAAATAAGAATTTTAACAATGATGCTACATAATATTAAAAGCTTTGGTTCTCATGAAAAGGGTGTTAAACATGATATAATCCACTAATCGATTAAAATGAAGATTAATTACGTTTGGAGTTAAGAAGAATGGTTAATAAATATGCTAAATAAAAAAAAAAAATTAAAAGAAAACACGGTAAATTGTATTTACATCGCATCAAGTTATAGCATCAATCGTATATTGTCGTATATTACACAAAAGAAAACAAGAAAAATAAAATTTGTATGCAATAGGTCTCGGTAGCGCATCCTCACCTGAGCCAGGCCCTCCTAGCCAGTGGTGCTCAACAGCAGCAACAATCAACACAATCCCAGCAGCAAGCAACTGTACAGACACCAGCAGGTCAGCAAGTGATGCAGGTGATCGTCGAGAAAGACGGTCGCGCGGTCGCCACGACCTCAAGCTCCATTATCAAAAGCCTACTGGCAACCAAGGTAACGGCCAGCGGCGAGTGCATGCAAGCCGCCGCAGCCTCCCAATCCACCTCTCCCTGTGTGTCAGCCGCTGTGCCGGTAGTAACAAACGCAACCGGCGTAGTATCCAGCATCAGTGCCAACCAGCTACTAACCGCCAATCAGGTACTTTAATAGTGTGTTTTTTTGTATATTATTAATCTATGTCATGTTTCGATGGTAGTTTTTTCATTCAGTTTTTTATTATGCTAGAAATTCTTAAAATGTTTTAGTTTTTGAAAAAGGGATTTGTTAGCAACTTTCACTAGAAATATTTGTCTTTGCATCGATAAAATTTATTTTCTGTCCAATAATAGGAATTTTCATTATCATTTTAAATATTGTCTATCCTCGTGAGTCTTATAATATAGTACAAAGATTAGTAAAATAGTCATAACATCGTCATTTTATATTTAATAGAGATAGTTACTATTATATGTCATGACACCAAAAACACTTGAACACTTATCAAACAAACTCATTATATCACTAAATTTTTATTTCTACCACAAACATGACTGCATGTGCTTTTTATGAAAGAGCACATGTAAAATTTTGTAAAATCATCAGTTTCAAAAGGACTAGCACACCGTGAGATTTCACTTCTTATTATTTTGATTGTATTTGTCATGTTGTGTTTTATTTTTTCTTTGTTCTCTTGCTTTTTTTTTGTTTGCAATTCAAACGCATGGTGAATAACAAGCGAGTGATCCTTAATTTGTTTGACTGATCTCCAGCTATATATTACACACTCGGTGTATTTCTTTATTAGTTAAAACATGTATTTAATCATCCATGTAGCAATTGGCACTGATAATTGTCAAAGTATCGAACTAACAATAGCATGGTGTTATTGAAAGAAAACATCTAAAGTTCACGTACAAGAACGAAGTTTGCATTGCCAAGGTAGTCTATAAAAGGCTTGGATACTCATCATTACCATTTATTTAGGTTGTTCAACGTCAGCAACAGCAGCGTCAGCAACAATTGAATCAGCAACAAATAACGGGGGTTTTGCAAACGACGACATCGGTCGGCACGCCGGTCAAGATAATCACTAACGCCAAATCAAAGCCAGCTATCGTAACTCTAAAGAAATTCCGGAGGCTCAACGGTGCCAAGGTCATTGTTGCCAATAACTGCGAGAAGGTAAAAAAAATAGCAATGAAAAATAACAACTCAAATAAAAATTTACACCGCTTTCAAGACATTATGCATCACATCTAACAAATAATTCTTATCTTGTAGGTCGACTCTATGGAGACGGATAGCAATGCAGCGTCGCAGGCACAAACGGCGGCAGCTGTTGCGAGCATAACTACGCCGGCCAACAGAGAACCAAATAACATAACCAGTGCTCTACGAGTCTACCGACCGGCTCATCATCAACAAGTGTCAGTTGTGTCTGGCTCAACAAGTCCGGCTAGAACAGCTGGCACGCAACCTCAGCAACCAAGAAACGTCTGCACCACTCCGATTGCTGAAGATTCAGATTCGACAAATAACTCGATTGCCTCGTCTAGTGGTATTGGCGGCAGTAGGGACTTGTCCGGTGTTGGAGCGGAGGAGGATAACTCATTGACGAGTTTCGAAGGTATCCTCCAGAATGGAGCACCGAGTAATCTTGACATTGACGCTCAGGAGGACGGCTCGTCCAAAGACTCATCCAGTGCTGGCTCGAAGGACAAGCCGTTACAGGGCATGATGCTTGCCGATTTGTTAGAGCGCAAAGTCGACAAAGAGCCGGTGATGAACGGCCTGCTAGGGGGTAGCAAGAAGGATCTTGTGGAGAATCATATTAAAATGGTACTCAAAGACTCATCTGACGTGAAAATCAAGACCGATGTATCTGAAGACACGCTTATGGAGGCGCCCCAGCCTCGTGCTGGAATCAAACGTTCTGCTAGTATAGACGAAGAACTAGCTGTGGAAGTGAAAAAGCCCAAGTATGCGAATGGTACTACCTCTCCGGATCCGGCGGTTGTTGACTCGACGACCATTTCGAGTATCAAGTCGGAAGAGGACGAGAAGGAAGAGAAGGTGACGGTCTCGTCAACAGCGGCAAATCTTTACGCTGCGCTTGCCGCGGATATTATCGATGACGAAACAGATCTTGAGGATCCGGTGACCGTTAAGGATGAAAAACCCGTTATCAAGGAAGAAGTTCAAGTTAAGGAGGAGCTTCCACAATCGCCTGTTGCGGTTAATCAAGTGGTGGGAAATCAAATAGTCCTGACTCCGGAACAACAGCAGCACATTCAGCAACAAGTGCAAGCGCAACAGGCAGCTCAGCAGGCTCAACAGCAACAACAACAACAACAGCAACAGCAAAAGATACAACAAGTGGTTCAGCAACAAGTGCAACAACAACAACAGCAGCAATCACAACAGCAAACCCACCAGATTGCTATAACCCAACAACAGCTCCAACAGCAGCTACAGCAAGGGTTGCTTGTTGCATCTCCACGTCAAATAGTCGTTCAGCAAGCCATCCAGGCCAATAACCAAATCGTTACTATTCCCACTTCTGCGATCAAGGGTCGCCAAACCCACCAGATACAGTCTCAAGTGTTGCAGGTGCAACAGGGACCTGGTGGACAAACTCATTACGTTATTTCTGGTGGCGTTCCTGGCCAGAGTTACATGGTGGCCCAACCCCAAACGGCTCTTGTTCAAGGCCAAGCACAAACGGTTCTGGTGGCTCAGCAACAGGGCACCAACACTAAAACGATCATTATACTGCAACCCCAGGCTACCGCACAACCGCAACAACAGAAGATGGTTGCCGTTACGCCTCAGGGGCAACAGGTCGTTGTGACTCAGGTTCAAAGACCGATACTGCAAAATTCATCGATAGGACAAATCCCTCCACCCTTGGTACCTACTTCGGGAAATATGACCCAGGCCTCGATTGTGATGAACAGTGCTGTAGCTCAACAAATTCAGCAACAACAGCAACTACAAGTACATCCCCAACCTCAACAACAAGTCCAATCGAACCCAGTGACAATGGTGCAAACACAGCAAGTTATGACTGGATCAGTGCCCTCAAGAGTCGTTACGCCAACACCTGCCAACACACCTCCACCAACTAGACCCACGACCCCGCATCAAGCTGCTGCGACGCAACAACCCACTGTAGCCGCTCCGGTAGTTGTGAAAACGCCGCAGCCATCCGTAACACCAGCTCAGCCAGTGACCAAGGACTCCAAAGACGTGAAAATCGTTACTACGTCGACTTCTGGGGGAACGGAAAACAAGGGTAACAGTGGTAATAATGGTAGTAATAAGTCAACGACGAGTCAGCAAGAAGCGACGACCACGTCAACGATTACGAGCAATAGCACCACGCGAGCACAAACTACGTCGACGTCCGCCGCGACAACAGCTACTCCGACTACGACAAGCAATATTTCCAAAACCATTACGATCAAGATTGATCCTACCGCGTTCCTCTGTGAATGGAGAGGTTGTCTCAAGTGAGTAATTTTGACAGCATTAAAATGCATTTTAAAATCCAAAGTATGTTAATGGGAGGCTGAAATTTTTGCAGACAATTCAAAACTCCTCGCAGAGTGTTTTTGCATGTTTGCGAAGTACACTGCCCAAACGGAAACGAAGAAAGTCTCTGTCTCTGGCCGAACTGTGACACTTTGAAGCGACGAAGATTTTCCCTAATGACGCATCTACTTGACAAGCATTGCTGCGAGGAAGTACGTAACATTTATAAACATAATTGTCACATTTGATGATAACACGTTTTATTGAATTCAAAATGTAATCATAATTGTTACCCAAGGTAATGCTGATGAGAAGAAAACAATTGAGCTTATCGGGTAAGACGGAAGTGACAACGACGACGGCGGCTGCTCCCGTGACTACTCATCATCCAGGCTATGCACCTAATGCTGCGTTCCATGCCATAAAGAGGCACGCCCTAGAATTCGTCAATCCTAAGGAATTAATGGTAAGATAATTGAACATATGTCTTGAATACTAGGAAATTTCATTGATGTTAATCTGAAAAAAGTGCAATCGTCACTTTAAACATTAAATTCACAAACGTTTTTCATTAATAACTAATCTTCGTAAAGATAGCCCTACAAATTAAACGCGAATGCAAAACTAAAGAATGTCATTGTCCAAATATAATTAAAAGTGGGAGTGCCTCTATCTTATGATGATTTAACAATCGACTTTCTCTTGTTATCTTTGGCAATGCAGCAAAGGCCATCCAAGCCCGCTGCGGCCAACTCAAGCTCCTCTTCCCCCCGACCCGGGCAAAATCCTCCACCAGACCAGGTAACGACGAGTTAGAAATGTCCAAGAAACGACAGTCAACGATTTATTTTATCAATCAATATTGTTGTCGCCTCGCATTCCCATAGCAGCTATGTGCTCGCTGTCACGAGATTTTTTAATTTGCTTTCAAGGAATACTTTGTCTCACTTCCTTTTCCAATATCTGATGTGAAAGTTATTTTTTCTAAAAATAGTTATTTATTACAGTTGGTTGAGTTATTAGAAATTAGTTTTGTCAGTATTACTCTCAACGCTGTCATCAGGAAACTATAGCTTTCGTGAATATAAAGTATAATGTTGCAACGGATAATAATTATCAAAAAATACGAAGGAATCGTAATCAATCACTTTTCATAGAAAAAAAAGACTCTTTCACATCGTTCCCGCAGCATGATTTATCCTTTACACTGTAATCCAAGCGCTTGATGCAAGATAGACTAGACATGTTCATTAGTACTATAATTTATATCATGTTGTTATTTATCAGTTTACAATAGCTTCAGTAATTTGTATCTATTAAAAAAAAATAATTATGTGTTGAATCGTTTAATTTCAATCCAATGATTACATAGCATGCTTTTTGTAACTAATGCACAAAAATTCGTATTTGCTAAAATATTTTTACACATCCACACACTCAATGTCTGCACGATTTGGCTTATTTTCAAGCATTTATTTAAATTGTCTTTTTTTTGTCTCACCCACAAAACAAGGTGTGTCCTTTGTGTCTGACACAAATCTAGTTAGTGCGTCGTCAGTGGAATATCACATATAATTGAACACAGCATTTAATACTTTTTATTTATTTTGGACATAATAATCTCACACACATTTTCGGTAACATTGTGTATCATGTTTATATCATTTTTAATTTTTTTACAGGATGACAATGAAGGACCTGTTACGAAAAGTATTCGCCTGACAGCAGCTCTCATTCTTAGAAACCTAGTCATATATTCCGCGCAGGGTAGGAGGTATGTATCTTATTTTCATGATTGCATGGATGACCAAAAATTCATCAGAGTTATTTTATGAATTGATAAATTGTCTTTATCAGACATCTACGTGCATACGAGCCACATTTGGCCGGTGTGGCATTGAGTAACGTCGAATCGTCCAGGACAATCGCACAAGTTCTTTACGACATGAATGATCAAAGTAGCAGTGGTCACAGGTGACCTTATGAAGCGAGCCTCCAGGGAAAAAGTAACTTTGATTCGTAAAAACTCGAGCAGTGATCAATCTTAATATAGATAATTCTGGTGTTGTGTTTATAAATTAGTGCGAGCCAAAAACTAAAGCTCTTGAGCACATTTACACACATACATACAGGCACACATGAATACACATATACATCGCGTGGAGACGGAATCTTGGTGGTGAAGTGATAATCTTTAACCGGAATGAAGACGCAAGTATTTGATGGTCCGCTAGTTTATGACAATGTTCCATAATCGTTAAGAAAATAAGGATGAGTTAAAAAAGAGGCCTAAAAACTTACTAGGCAAGCCAATTTGCCGATTATTCTAGCATTAATTGAATTGTGCAAACTAGAAGAGATAGCATAGTGCTTGACAAAAAAAAAGTAAATTCTCTCATTTGCTATGTAGTTATGGGAAATGAATTTGCAATCAAGCTAAAAATTGCGGAAAATAACTGATGAATTTCCATACGATGTTTGTTGGATAGAAGCAGAGATACAAACATAAAAACACTGTTAAAAGGACAAAATGATACTTCAGATTTAATATTAATATTTATTTTCTCAAATGAAGGTGGCAAAAATGTTTTTAGTGTGTACAAAAGGTAAAATGACGATAAAGACTTGAAGATAATCGAGCGCAGTGGTAAATGAAACAAAAATACCTTTAAAAATGTTAATAGGTTAATTGTAATGAATTAATGTTATTGTGTATTATCTACGTTTTCTTTCTTTGTAAGTTCTTTTGTTCTCTTCTTTTTTTTCATGATTCATGAGAAAGAACATCAGAGTAAAAATAGAAAGTCTTTTTATTGATTGTATTTTTTAGAAAGTGTATAATTTTTTTCTCGCTTACTGATTGCATATCGCAATTGTACATGGCTATCCCATCGTCTCTCTTTGTTTTTAATATTTTAATTATAATCTCCACGATTCAGCATAGAATCCATAAAAAGAGAATTATACTTTGGATTTCTATAGTTCGTCGTCTCTTATTAGTTTGTAATACAAAGGTCCCGTGCTCTTGAGTTTTCATCTTTATTATCTATGATTTTCATGTGTAGATTTTTTTTTTTTTTTCTATTTTGAAGCACTATTTGATGGTGCATGTAATTCGGTTTACTCTAAAGAAAAAGCGAAGTTTATTAAATTTCAGTAAATGTATACATATTACACTACTTTTATATGAAATAGATTATTATTAAAAGTTTTTGATGAATTTTTTTTCGATGACATGATTCTGTTTACACGAAAAATGACACATTGCATTTATTGTAACATCATTTTTTACCTTAAGTCGCGAAGGATAAGTGTGAAAAAGCGAATCGAATCGAAGCTTTGAATGAGAATACTAGTTGATAAAGCGAAAGAATGTAATAACTTTGTAAAAAGAAACTAATTTTAAGACTTCATTTAACATTAATGGAAAAAAAAATGCAAGCACGTACATACACATACTGTAAATATTCTCTGTATTTCATTTGCAATGTGAAAATTTAAATAAAAACTGCGATTAATGGGAAACATTTTTATCAAAAATCGTTGTGACAAAACAAATGTGCAAACGAATTGAATCAGATTACTCTCGATAATCAAATAAATTTCTTTGTATCATATAAAAAAATAAAATAAAAGCGATCTTCTACTAAAAACATGGAATTTAATGTTTTCGTAATTACAAAATGTATTGTATAAATAATTAAATCTATTTATAATACCAATTCAACTATGAAGTAAGTATAATCAATTTAGATATGTCAAAAAGTCGAGTGCAAAGTGCAACTCTCTTTTGACGGCTTTCTTGTTGACGTTGGCGGACCGGCATAAGTGATAGTGTATGTTGTGTACGCACTCAAAAACATAACCTTAAAATGTGTTGTTTTGGTTTTTATAAACTTTTCATTCGGATGTTAAATAAACATTCTATTAAGTAAAAACTTTTAATTAATTGTCTTAAAATGGAAAAAAACGACGAAGACTGGATAGTTGAGTGTTCTGACGACGAGAAGTACGAGGTCGATCCCAAGGTAAAATTAATTGAGTTACGTTAATGTAGTTGTGTATGTAGTAACTTTTATGTAACTATTACTGGATTTTCTAAATAACTTTGACTAATTCCATTATTAATTTCAACAACACTACGCATTGATTGTATTATCATCTAGAGTCTCAGTTATCTGTAGCTGAAAGTACTAAAGTGCCAATTCTTGTGTACACTTTATCACAATAATTCGGATATTGTTGAATTTATCAAATTTATTTGTAGAACGGCTGGATGCCAAAGCCTGAAGACATAGTGTCCCTCATAGAAAGTTTAGAAAGAAATAACAGAGTTTTGGAGCTTGAATGGAGATGTCCAGGAAGGCGTGAACCATCTCCTGTGAATGTGAATAATCACCAGCAAGATCTTTTAAATGATTACAAGTAAGTATATCACAATGTGAAAACTCATAAAACAGAGTATGTGGAATATACTTTTGCACGAAAATTAATTCAAATGTAAATTACGCTTATTTCAGACCCAAAGAAAATAATTCAGATTTCGAATTCATGGATGAGATGTCTTCTCCAAGACTACCAGTCAGGAAAGCTGGTGAAGCTACACCAAAGGGCAGTGCAAAGAAAAAAACTGCCAGTTTTAACAAAGTTTTAAACACAATGCTGCGCCAGCGCAGACTCGAACAGCAAGAAAGTTTAAGTCCCAAAAAGCCTGAGCCAAGTTCACCAGGGATGAAATCATAAGACTAACAGTCTTCAAAAGTGCAGTGAAGAGACATGGCTTGGCCATTGAACTGAGTTATGATAAAAATAAGCTGATTTATCAGCTACTTTTTTTAAGAATCAAATTTTTTTTCACTATTTCTATTACCAAAAAAAAAAAAAGACTTTAATGATCCGTCAAGGGTATTGAATAATTATCCTCTGTGAGGATTAAGAGTACTTTTACACTTGAAAGATTTTTTACGTCAGTATAATTGTAAATAACAAGTACAAAACAAATATGTAAACCCAAGTGGTATAAGCATTCCTGTAAGCTAGGGGCACTCCATATAGCATCCACTGGGTATGCGCTTTTTAGACCACTTGTAAGAAGATTTTATTGAGAATTTCCTTGAAAAGATTCGTGCCTATACCATCGAACGTCGCTGTGCCATCAAAGGTCGATACTACCCTGAGATATGATGTGGTCACCTTTGTTGGACGTAGTTCACTTTGAATAAATTGGAGCTACTGATTATTAATATGCCTATGTATAAAACTATGAAGAAATATATATTCTATTTCGATTTCCTTTATAAGTACTTGTCTAAATCCCAGATATTCTCTGTACTGACAAACACCTTATTGAGCCCCTCCTATTATGCAATGAAAAAAAAAATAGTAACGAGGATAAAAAAAAATTATAGAACGACGTATCAAAACGGTACAACAGCACCACTAATAGAGTAGGGCCGTCACGTCAAGTAGTAGATACTCCGTGATCCAATAACCCGCTACTACCAAGTACTACATCGCAGCATTTTGATTTCCATTAATTTTACGCAATTTGGACTCAAAATTTTAAGGAGATAGAAAGCATCCACTTTTAATAGATAAAAGTACTTTGTAGAAACAAAAGGTGTCAAGTTTAATAAAATCATTTAAAAGTTGTGAGCATACTCATAAAAATACCTTGGGAGAAATCGTCAAAAATGCCAGGCGGTAAAAGTAATTAAAAATCAAGGAACGAATGGTATTTTTTCGAAATAATGTTTTATTCATTAAATCACTTGAATTTGTGAATCAAATCATCAGTCAAAAAATATTAAAATTCATTTGAGCATTATTAAAACCACATATAAACATTAAAATATTTGTACTAATATTATACAATAGGTATTTTATAGCTTGTGCGCGTGAATATCAGTGAACACAATTAACAGCTCAAGTTTCAATAACTTTTGCAGTTTACAATTTTTATGCGAATTCAACTATCCCGGTTTTTGTCCGGCTCGAAATCTTTCAATACCTCCATCCGAAGATTTTCGATCTTTTGCTTGATGGTTTCCATTTCTTCGTAAACATCGTTGACCTGTTGCACCACATTACTGCTCACTTTTGATTTATTGCGATCAATGGCAATATCACCATCAATATCGTCCAATATATTTTTTTCAGGCATAATCCGTTCCGGCAACATCTTGTACTGCGTTGAATCTTCAGGCTCAGCAACTTGTCCATCGTCCGACGTAGCTCTCTTCATCTGCGGCAGCTCCATATACTCGGTCGAATTATCAATATTGCTACTTTCCGGAAACGAATGCTCCAAACTCTCCTGCGACCTTACAGAGTATAAATCATCGGGGTTCATCTCAACATCTTCGAGATCCTTGAACGTTTCTGATTTATCGGTAGGCCTCGCGATGCTCCTCAAAGCATCTGACTGTCGCGGTGTCGAGGCAATGGGCGCTGCTTCCCAATCGTCGGCACTACAGTTCATTTGGATCATACTTTCCATCGAAATCGACCGATACGCCTCGTCCTCTTTGACGCGATTCCTTTCATTCTCGGGCTGATCTCCAAAAGATTCCTTCGACACTCTCTCGCTCGTCTCTGTGACAGTCGATGTTCGTGTGACGGCAGTTTCCTGACACTGAACGGCCTCTGGCTGTGCCGTAGTCACGCTTTTCGAGCCATCCTGTTGTTTTAATGTTTCGTTCATCAAACAAAAGTATTCCTGAATGCTCTTTGTGTACTGCTGAATCTCAGCGAGTATCTTGAGCAACTGAGGCTGCGACAAGTGGGAGATAACTGTGGTATCATCAAGGGTCTGCGTCGATATTGAGCCAATCGAGTTGAAGTTGATCTCGTGGCGTTTTGCCGACGCGTTTGCATCCTTTCGTGCTTGAACGATCGCGGTCCTACTATTACCAGGAATATCGTGAGATGCCCGTGAAATTCTAACAGAGTTCACGGTGCCGCGTCTAGACGGGCTATTCGTGGTTTTTTCTTCGAGTATCTTGTTCATCAGATTCAAAGTTTCAGCGAGCCAGTAGGTCGACGAGCCGGGGTACAGGCTTTGCAGTTTTTTCTTCCTCCTTCCTCCACAGCGAAGGCACTTGGTATCGCTGTACATCGCGGATTTCGCCCTCGCAACGTTACTACTTTGTTGATTTAAATTATTGTTCTCCATGTCTTTCAGCTTTTTCGTTTTAGCCGCGACGTAGCCAACCTTGCCCGAACAAAAGCACGCTCTACTCGTCACCTCCTGATAGTCACCGGAGACGCAATTGTTGTTCTCGTCCGTCGTCGAAGTCTCCGGGGTGACGACGTTGGATGAGGGAGAGACTACCCGGACTTTGAACCTGTCGCAAGCGCTACATGGCCTGGATTCCAGTTTCGCAGGGACGACAGCCGTGCCGTATCTACACGTTAATGAGTACATGTTAGAATGAGATTTTGCGATTGGCCCGATCGCTTAAATGGCGACGTTCAAGTCAACGTTAACGCTGTCGGGCGATGAATTGCGCGACCTGCAAGCAGAAAACAAAGAGGGACCTTTTTTTCAAATCTCTCAGATCAATTTTCGTGTTACGTTGGGAGGGAATGCATAAAGGTCGCGACGCGAGTGATCAATTTCAAGAGTCGCTCGCAAATCATCAGCCACCTCGTAATCGTCGTCATTATTGTTTCCTGCCCAGAAATTATACCTGTCGGACAGCTGATTCCAGTCAGCAATGGCCCTTGGTGTGGGACGACGTGTAGTCGCGCATGATTGGCAAGAACTTCCACCTAGGCAGTCGTTCCTCGGATCAATTTCCCCGCAGCTGCCGCTGCGAAGACGCGCTACGGTACGATTATACTCAAGAGGATTACGAAAGTGTGTGCGTGGAGATTTCGGGCGTGGGTCGATTTGACCATCGATACAATAACATAAGTGTGTGTACGGTGGCGCTTCATTTATACATTTGTCTACCTTCGATCGTCGTCGTAGGTCCTCCGGCTGCGCGTCTCCTCCCGCCTGGACTTCTCGAAGCGCTCGTTGGCCACTTGCCGTCGTAGCTCGGTTATCTGCTTGCTGTACTCGGCCGCTTGGGTCTGGTACTTGCGGACTTCCGCCGTTTCCGAGCTCCTGTATCAAACGTACAAAAAAGAAAAAAAACATCGATTAGCCTTTTCGAAGGTTCTTTGCTGGTTGGGGGGGAGGTCGATGGCACGTACAGCTTGCACTGAAGATCGCTTATCTTGGCCTTGAGCCTCGCCACCTCGGACTGCAACTCGCGGTTGTTAGCCTGCGAGATCATGGTCTCCTTGCGCGCCTCCTCGATCAGCCTCTCGAGCCGGTCGATCGTCTTGTGGTCTCTCGTCAACTGGTCCTGGAAAACGTCCTGCTCCGACCTGTACCTCTCGAGCTGGATCTCGTACTGCGGATCGAAAAACTCGCGCTTTAACATCCAAACGAATTAAAAATTATACACCAACGCGCAATCGTACTTGGTTTTTCTTGTCTTCCGAGTCCTCGAGGCGATGGGTGATGCACTCCTTCTGCTGCTCGAGGGTAACGCAGAGGTCGCGCACGGTTCGCAGGTCATCCTCGGCTCGGGAACGCTGATCGGTGGCCTGTTGCAGCTGGATTTCCAGACTCGCTATGTTTTGCGTGAGCTCCGTGATCTGCGCGACAAACACACACGTTTTAAGAAACAAAACGACCAAACAGAAAATCCCATTCTCTGCGCTGTCTCAGAGACGCGGGCACGTAAATCACAGAGTCGAGAGAAGCGGTATACAAGCACCTGGGCCTCGTATCCCTTGACGAGGCAGTCCTTGTTGGACAATTGTCGCTCGAAATCGGCCATCTGATCGCGAGCCGATTGCAAAGCACCGCGCGCCTCCGCCGCCTCGGTCTCGAGGCTGTGGTTGTTGTTCTCCAGCACCGTTGCCTCCAGGCTCAGGCTTCTGTAGTGATTGAGCATGTCCGTGCGCTCGTTCTCCTGTTGATCACCGACAGCATGTACAGAATACGTGCAGGTAAAAGCCACGGGAAAGAAGAGAAAGGAAAAAAAGGTAAAATACCTTCTGGGCGAGGAGGTCCTCGGCGCGGCGGACTTCGGTCACGTAGGTCTGGAGCTGGCGCTTGAGGTCGAGCGCCTCGGCCCTCGAGGTCTCGAGCTCCTTGTGCATCTTGCGGACCTCGCAGCTGACCGCGGCCAAGTCGTCCTGGAGTCGGCGGTTCTCCTGGATCGCGTTATCGCGGTCTATGTTCAGGGTCGCCAGTTGCCGGTGCAGATTCTCGACTTCCAGTTGCATCGAGCGCATCTGCCGGTCCATGTCCGTCGCTTGATCGGCACATGCTCTGGAAAATAAATAAAAAATAACGAGAACAATCGACGCGGCTCTTACGAAATTAAGGTCGTATCGAAGGGAGGAAGAAAAAAAAAAAGCGTCGAACTTGGAATAATTTATTCGCAACTGGTCGAATACCGTGTATATACTGCGCTGTATACACCTATATTCGCTTGCGTTACGAAATTTCGAGTCATTAAGAACGAGGGGGACGCGATCGAGGACAAGGCCGGGCCTCGGATTCCGGATTCCTTCCTTCGGCGAATATAATATATGTTGTGGTACCTCGCGGTTTTAAGACCGTAATAATACCATGCTGGGTAATTTTACTTTTAATTGAATTTTTTTTTTTTTTTTTTTTTTTTACAACCGATGATTACATACACTCTTTATCTCGAAACGGTTGAGTACGACTGTATAATATGTACCCGTACACCCACAGGCTACACTGTACTTTCTTTTTCTTTTCAATGCTTTGAGAAAAAACAAATCTATTTGTTTTCCTCCGGTACAGCATCATCATCATCTAATATTACCTGGTGGTATATATGTGTGGGTCGCGAATTCGATGCCGCGCGTGAAGTTTCACAACACTCCGTCGTTGCTACACTGATCCACGGGTACGCGCATACACTTTACAATATTTGTAAGACTTATATAAAAGCCTCCGGGCCCCCGCCTGTGTACGATTATTATGTCACCTTTATAGGTATCGATGAATACAGGTTTACACTCTCGCCTTGCGCTGTGCGCGTCGCGTGAAAAGACAAAGGAAAAAAAGCATGGCCCTATAGTATACACACGCAGATATATCCGTTTGGAGAATGAGAAAAAAGAAAAAAAACAATTTAAAACTTCTCCGTTTGTGAGACTCGGGGCGAATTTCTAAACCACAGCCCGTTTATTACCATCGCGAAGAGCTGGCACGGCTGGACCACAAAAATTTTGTTCGCGCATTGTCGCTTTACCTCTGTATGAATTGGCCGTAAAAAAAAAAGACAAGGGAAGAGGAGGCGGTGCTCGTCGTTTGACACTGAAAGTTTTATAAATCGGTTGTACACTGTTTTTGTAAACAAACAAGGAGACGATCGGTTTTGGCACTTTGGAAGATCGAAGTGAAAGTACAGGTGGTGTTTTTCGATTCCAAAGAGATTTTTCGCTCCCGGATGCAACGCGACGAGTGATCAATCAATACCGATCGAGAACCGATTTTTCGACAGTGCACTATAGTACAACAGGCTCCATTACAAGAAAATCACTCCAAGCCCGGAAGTGCCGTCGATGGAGTTATCGGGCAAAGTTCATTAGCCATCACGGGTTCCTCGGTTTTACGCAGCGTTATGTAAGTTATCGAATGACGACTGAGTGTATGGACAAGAAGGTGCGTGTAATAAAAATGATGGGCACGCGCGCGGATCCCCCGCGGTGCCCCGTCTTGCTAATCATGAGTATGGGTGATTTTTTTTTTTTTTTTGTATTGCGCACATGCTGCGCTCGCAGGTTCCGCATAGTAAATAAGGAGGCGTTTGTTTGTCATCGTTTTTCTTTAGAGCTGCGTTTGAAAGGTGACGCGGAGGAGGAGTTTGGGAGGATGAAAGAGATAAACTTTCACTGCGCGTTGTACGTTTTGGGGACAAATTTTTACTGCTATTGTGCCAAAGTACGGTCTTTTCAATTTGGATGAGAGGCTTCGAATCAGAGATAACGAGTGTTATATTATCTTCTACAGTGAATCTCGATCGGGTCCGAAGCTTTTCCATCTCTATTTCAACGCATGGGGCCATTGTGGAAAAGTTCAATGAAATGACAAATCAATTTTAAAGTTTCTGTCTTTTAAACGTTTGTGACTCTGAAAAATCGCGTATGACAACTCTTTTAGGCGTGACAAAACGACTTGTACATAATGGCACTTCCAACCCAAACGGCCAAACAACTTTCTATGTACACAATGACCGGGACCCCTTGTGTTTCACTGTCATGTAATAGAAAGAGTAACAAAAATACCGAGCCACAAAACCCACATATACTTACGCGTGTATATAATTGAATTTAGTTCAAAACAAAGGAAAAAAAAAAAAAAAAAAAAAAAAAAAAAAAAAAAA